CACATACGTCGCTTGAACTGACCCGAAGGAATTATGATCAGTGGATCACTTCGAAATACATGATGTGAACCGACGAATCGTGTTCGCAAGATCACTTCGAAATAAGTGACGTGAACCGACCCGACGAATCACTTAATGATCCATAAGAAGGATAGGATGTGACCTGAACTTGGAAATAAGTCAGGATATTTTGTCGCAGTAGAGTACGCTACCTGGATCGTAGTGCGACACGTACCCTAGTGCGACAGAGGGTGTTTTTGTCGGACTTCGCACTAGAGTACGTGTCGCACTAGAGTACGTGTCGCACTAGAGTACGATTACCCAAGTCCCCATACATCGTGGTCCGGTAGTTTCATTGCATCTTGATTATATATACCACGTACACTCATGCATACCAAACAAAACTATTCAGTCTATTAGACTGTATCTGATATCAGTGTGACTCCTGATTCTCATCTATTTCATCAACCTGCAATTACATAATATCTAAATATCTAAATATTTAGGACTAAATTCCCGTATCATTGTCCGTGAAAATTATGGGCATAATCTTATTTAAGTATTAAGTTTGATCTTTTCACTTTTTTATCCATGGCAACGCTGTTAAAATGGGAATTGACCAGTAGCTAGTATGATACTCTCTTCCCTCAGACGCCTCTTCCTCAGCCCCCTCTCCCCAATCTAACCTTCTCTGACGCCTCTTCCCTCAGGGTGCCAGGTCGATATTCGAACATCTTCCTCACGAATACATTGAACCTACTGAAATGAAACAAGCTGCTCTTGAAGGAGGTACTCAGTAATCAGTGCTTTGATAAATATTATATTTTGATCAAAATGTTATATCACAATATTAAATTTTTTAAGTGAGTTTGAAGATTTAATTCACGAAACTTATATTCGGACAAGCTTTTGCAATTTGCAACGATAAGAAATTTGAATCTGATGTTTTTTTTAGCACAGATGCAACTGTTTGTTACCAATTTACCTAAACTCTTCAGACCCCAGCATCTGCTACGCCACAGTATTGAGGCGTGCTAACCCCCAAACCCTTCAGACCCCAGCATCTGCTACGCCACAGTAATGAGGCCTGCTAACCCCCAAACTCTTCAGACCCCAGCATCTGCTACGCCACAGTAATGAGGCCTGCTAACCACCCCCAAACTCTTCAGACCCCAGCATCTGCTACGCCACAGTAATGAGGCCTGCTAACCCCCAAACTCTTCAGACCCCAGCATCTGCTACGCCACAGTAATGAGGCCTGCTAACCCCCAAACCCTTCTGACCCCAGCATCTGCTACGCCACAGTATTGAGGCGTGCTAACCCCCAAACCCTTCAGATCCCAGCATCTGCTACGCCACAGTAATGAGGCCTGCTAACCCCCAAACTCTTCAGACCCCAGCATCTGCTACGCCACAGTATTGAGGCGTGCTAACCCCCAAACCCTTCAGATCCCAGCATCTGCTACGCCACAGTATTGAGGCGTTCTAACCCCCAAACCCTTCAGATCCCAGCATCTGCTACGCCACAGTATTGAGGCGTTCTAACCCCAAAACCCTTCAGATCCCAGCATCTGCTACGCCACAGTATTGAGGCGTTCTAACTCGATGGAGCGTATTGACGGTAAACCTTACTCTGCTGATGACTACAATATGAATGGGGACCTCTACAAAAACATATTCGCTGAAAAGGTTAACTCTAAACTCAACTATAAGATAGGTTTAACTCTGAATAATAAATCAAATGATATCAAGTAACCTTGATAATCAACAACTGTACATAATCATTTCTATACAGTGAAGAGTGAAACTGTTTGATTTCAGTCGACCAACATTTTCAATCCCTATATTTGGTGTCAATTTTTATTGTTTATTTTTGTTTGAGCTTTTGAGGCTTAAATAATAATTCCATTCCGTAACTTAAGGTCAAAATACGATTATGCATTGATTCCGAAAGTTTCATGCAAAAATATCAAAAGCTGATTGAGTTCTATTCTTTTGAGCAACTGATCGAAGTTTTGGACCGTGGACGACAGAAATGAGAAAATTTAGGGCGTGTAATTAAACAATTTGATGGTTACTTAGTTGATACAGGAGGACCCTATAGTTACAGATATTCAATTTAAAGTCATAATATGCAGAGTTACCGCCATGAAATCATGTTACCGTTACGATATTCAGAGACAAACTCAAGCCTTAAATCGTAATAAACTACTTATAATTATAGACCTCGTACCTTCTCGGAATCACATTTTTACTTTATTCTGGGTTATTCTAGAAGGTTTGGGTTCCATCTGATTGAAAGGTTAATGACAAAATATAATTGTCAATTTGTTAGTTTGTGGGGAACCCACTCTTCCTCGGTAGTAAGAAGGCTACGTCCACCTACTGGGCTGAAGTTTAACGGTCCCTCTGGTGCAGGGATGAGCTTTATAACTGAACTATATTCTGGGCCAAGATAAAATATATGCTCCCAGAGGATTAAGCCTGAGCCCTTGTGGACGGTGATATCTGAAGGTTGTTTGCAATAGCCATAGTGTCCGAGTCATCGGGAGAATGTCACCCAGATCAAAACATACTCCGATCTTGGGAGTTTTGTTATAAGAAACCTGTGAGTAATGGCCTCGAAATTCGAATCTTATTTACGATTAATGCCTTTATTGGTAATTTGTACGATAAATCATAGTTGAATGATTATACATTTATCAAATGCCTTCTCATGAGATATCATAACTTTCGCCCACGAGGTTTGCCGAGTTAGCGAAAGTTTCGATATTTCCCGAGGCTTGCCGAGGGTTATATCGACATTTTCAAACACGAGGCTTGCAGAGTTTTTTAAATGTTGATATCGCATGAGAAGGCATGTGATAACTTGTTATTCTGCGAATGATATTTTGTCCACTATGATAAAGTGATTGTTTCAATTGAATTTGAACTATAAGAATAAGATGTGATTCACAGCAGATATCTGATTAGATGTATCTGCTTTTCTATTTTATAGTACGTGTTTTGCGCTCGGGATTATATATTAAAGGCGTGATATTAGGCAATCGCCAATAAATTCATGTAATGAGAGTTTATTACCGAGTTTGTCCTTCTCCAGATGTTGTAAAGAACTCCAGATACCCTCCGGATGCTAAGTTAACGAAGTTTTAAAAGAATTACTGACCGAATTAGGTTTTTTATAGGTACATATATAATACTACATAGTTACGGTCTACGGATATTTAATTTTAATTCATGATATGCAGAGTTACCGTCATGAAATCCATGTTACCGTTACGATATTCAGAGGCAAACTCAAGCCTTAGATCGTAACAAACTACTTATACTTATAGACCTCGTACCTTTCGGATTCTCGGAATCACAATTTTACTTTATTCTGGGTTATTCTATAGTTTGTGGGGCTCTAATGGGGTCTCTCTGGCGCAGGGATGAGCTTTATAACTGAACTATATTCTGGACCAAGATAAAATATATGCTCCCAGAGGATTAAGCCTGAGCCCTTGTGGACGGTGATATCTGAAGGTTGTCTGCAATGGCCAAAGTGTCCGAGTCATCGGGAGAATGCTACCCAGATCAAAACATACTCCTGGGAGTTTTGTTATATGAAACGAGAACACATCACCAATTCCTATTGGTTGATTATATCATGTCTGGAGTGGGAACCTGCGATTGATAGCCTCGAATCTTATTTGCGAATAATGCCTTTATTGGTAATTTGTACGATAAATCATAAAATTGAATGTCCACTGTGATAAAGCGATTGTATCAATTGAACTTGAAGGATAAGTGTATGTGATTCACAACAGATATCTGATTAGATTTATCTGCTTTTCTATTTTATAGTACGTGTTTTGCGCTCGGGATAATATATTAAGGGGGCCGGGGGGGGGTCTTCATCAAAATTCTCTCGAAATTGATTCTATAGAGGGGAGTGATATCTATCAGCTGCTTTTGGTCCCATGGAAAAATATTGTTCCTAGCCGAAATTATCGCTGGTCAAAGGTCAGCGCTCATGTGTAATTGTATTGCGCGAGCGATTTTCAATCGCGCGTCCTGAAAATCGATTCTAAAAATCTATCTTCTCCTACATTTTTTGAGCAATCACCCTGAAACTTTCAGGATATGTTCTAGGGATCATTTAGAAGAGAAGTATCGAGCCGAATTTTGAGATAGGCCTCAGAAAATTTATAAATCGATTTTGAAAATCTTGGACCTGGAAAAATCGTCAAAAAATGAGGTCCAAGATTTTCAAAATCGGATTAAAAATTTTCTGAGGCCTATCTCAAAAATCGGCTCGATACTTCTCTTCTAAATGATCCCTAGAACATATCCTGAAAGTTTCAGGGTGATTGCTCAAAAAATGTAGGAGAAGATAGATTTTTAGACTCGATTTTCAGGACGCGCGATTGAAAATCGCTCGCGCAATACAATTACACATGAGCGCTGACCTTTGACCAGCGATAATTTCGGCTAGGAACAATATTTTTCCATAGAACCAAAAGCAGCTGATAGATATCACTCCCCTCTATCAGAAACAACTATAAAATCAATTTCGAGAGAATTTTGATGAAGACCCCCCCGGCCCCCTTAAAGGCGTGATATTAGGTAATCGCCAATAAATTCATGTGATGAGAGTTTATTACCGAGTTTGTCCTTCTCGAGATGTTGTATAGTTCCAGATGCTAAGTTAACGACAGATTTGATTGGTGGTTAGTGCCGCCGTGCCGCTTTCGCTTCTCTTCAGTTATAAATTCCGGATGCAAGGGTAGTTTACCGTACTACAAGATCATCACGGCTGCGGGACCCTTGCCAGGGAGAGAATGACTGGCACGAGGATCAGGAGATAGGCTCTTGATCCCCCCGTTAATGATTAAAAAGCTGATTTAATTGACAATTTGCCTTGTCTCTTTCTCCGATTATAACGACGTTATGTGCAGTAAATGTAATCAGGTCTCACCTTTACAGGTAGCCCCCTACACAACATGTTTAGTTAACGGATTGTACTGGGAAGCCCCCGCTCCAAGAGTACTCAGTGATGAAGACGCTGTTCGGATGTTCGGAAAAGGAAGTCAGGCTAAAAACAATATCATGAGAGGAATTCCACAAATACCACACAAGATGCTCGCCATTTCTGACATCACTTGTGATATTGGGGTGAGTTTTTGTCCGGTAAAAATTACAAACAGTTTGGCTAACAGTAACAATAATATGAATAAATAAAGACAACTGTAAATTGGAATTTTCTAGAATATTAGTGGCTGTTGGTATGATTCTCGCTTAGGGTTCCGGATTCAATTACTGGCCAAGCCCTTTTGTCTTGATCCTAATGTAAGATTATAACAGGGATCAATCGAGTTCAGTAAAGAACCAACTACAGTCGGCAGTCCATTCCAGTTGTACGATCCCAAAACGAGGACGGTCCACAGCGAGTGAGTAGAAACTATTTTTAAGTGGCTGTTTTTTTGAGAAGTAGTGATTATGCTACTATTGTTGCAAACTAACGCCTTTATTATTGGTCCTAAAGATTGACTCAATTTCGTAACAAAGAACAATGACTGTACCGTTCATTTCTATGATGATCAGCCATCTGGCCTGGTATAGAAAACGGAGTTCTCTTAGTGTTTAGTGTATGCTAGTCAAGCTCTAGTCACGAAGCACGAACGGCAGGGCGTACCGTAAGGTATAAATGAAACGAGTATATTAAAATGGATAATTAATTAAATGGAAAAGCAATACAAAGTGAACTTCAACAGATAAAACTTCCAAGTGTTCGCTCCAAACAATTGACGTGAATATAGATCACTCGACGTGTCTAATCACAAAAGATAGTGCTCAGTCAGACTGGCTATCGTCAATTAGAATCCCTTAAAATGATTAAGGGGCAACTAAGAAGTGAGCTCTCCACTTCCGGCTCTTCGGGTATACTCTCAAAACTTCGTCACGCCACACTGCGTGACAGCACAACGCATTTGCTTGTACCACGTGACACGCCGTCTCGCCAATGAGCACTCCACTGGCAGTCACGCTGTGGTCGCGAGGACCAACCACAGGCCTGGCTGTAAGTCAGGTGCAAAGTGAGCGGACGGCTCGTTACAGACAGTTAGTCTGACAGTAGTTCTGCCAGCCAACCGACTTACACTCAAAATGTGTAACTCCCAAATACGAACATATAAAAACATTGGTTATTATATACCCGGAAATACATACTAAATTCTACGTCCCTTAAACGTTATACTAAAACTAAGATATTCTAAAAGATATCTCTAAATACCATATTACAACATCTCTACCCAAAAATTTTTTTCGAATATTTTAAAACAATAAAATAATCGGCCTTTCCAAAATTTAAATTTCAATGCTTCCACGCATCAAAAGTCCAAAACTTAAAAATAGGTCAAGTTTCAAAATATAAAACACGGCCCTAACCCTGTGCATTAAATTTAAATCCTCAAAATACTAAAATTAAAACTAAAATTGACTTCCAAAAATCTTTCAAAACTTTCCAATACTTCCTTTTCGCACCAAGTTGTATAGTCTTTGGTGTTGAGTCTTCATCCTTAGATAGAGATGTATCGAATCTCTAATTCGTCCTTGACAAGCAAACAAAGAAGTCAAAATAAATTCGAAAGTTTCTACGTTTCCGCCACTAAAGCAGCCCTGAGCGAGTCGTGTTGCGAGTAAAGATCCTAATATCCCTATCAGTACTGTTCTGAAAGATACACGTGTTATACCTAAGTAAGGTACTAAATCACTGCTAAGTACTAAATGGAAAGTTCTAGCTAAGTGCGTAAGATATTACTGTACTGAGACTAGATTCCAAAGTAAGTGTACTCCCTGTCAGGGCTTCTTCCCGTCTTCTACTGGCTCAAATACCTCAAGAGATCCTTGACCACACTAACTTTCTCGTACCCCAAACGGTCGGGTTGTCTCCGCTCCTCAGGTCTCCTAGTGTTATATCTACGCTCCTCCCTCGGAGGGCTCTGTCTTCTTAGATCCACAGGAGAAAGCGATCCTGTTGTGTCAATGTCGTGCCCCGCTGAATCATATGACATAGAACTGCTATGACCCATCGTTCCTTCACCAACGACCGGACTCGATGATCTTCTATCGGCCGATCTCTCTCTAGCTGGAGTGAAGAATTCTGCAGAATTATCAACTGTTTCTACACTATCGCCTGAGGGAATGTTATGTGTGAGAGGTGTTACAGTACTAAAACTAGGATTAGTAGAATTCGTATCTAGTTGTGCAGGACTATTCACAACCCTAGGAGTAGAACTTAAACTAGGTTGTTTATAAATGCTAGCTGTACCATCCTTCTCCAGACGAAACTTCTTCGGATGAACCTCTCTTCTCCTTGCTACAACTGGTGCTCTTCTCAGTTGAAAATCTGTCTCCTCTTCACTATCACTATCGGAATAGACTACATCTCGCCTTGATGAGTCCGTCTTTAACTCGGCTTCACTGCTAACAATTTTAGGCAATGTAAAGCTAGTCTCTAGTTTCTCAGAAAACTTGTTCCTGACATATCTCTTTAACTTTCCAATGTTAAACACCTTCTTCTCTCCATCAGGCAAATCTAAACAGTACAAGTGATCGTTTATCTTCTTAGAGATCTTATACGGGCCAACCCAACGAGGACCGAACTTGTGCTTTGGACAATTTATCAAAACAAAAGCTTCCTCACCTTCCTCAAAGAATGGTCCCTTAACGTGCTTATCGTGATATCTCTGTACATAGCAAAAATCACGCTCAGCTTGGACCCTCACCTTCCTGGTGATAAACTTGAGATTCTTGTACAGCTCGTATGCTTCAACATCAAACTCATTCTCCTTCATAGGCTCTAGCTCGAAATCCTTACGATTCTCAGCTAGCAGGCTTAAAGGTGTGTTTAACTCACGACCAAATACCAACCTGTTGCTAGAATAACCTGTGTGCCGATTCCGCAACGAGTTAAGTACAAAGACTACTCTAGATAACCAAAGATCCCAGTCCTGGTATCGTCCCGGTGGTAAGCTGGTTCTCAGTGCAGTATTCAACCGACGGTTCGCTCTTTCAACTCTTCCAGTACTTCGAGAAACGTACGGTTGGCCATGAATGTATTTGCAATCTAGGGCTTGAGCTATGGTCTCGAAATAATTTGCTCTAAAACCCGGATGATTATCAGCCATCATGAATCTAGGCTGGCCAAAACGATCAATCCAAAACCTACGAATCACAGACACGCTCTCCTTAGCTGTCTGGGTCTTAGTAGGAATAGCTACCACATAATTTGACCAACAATCAGTTATAGTCAAAATATACTTATAACCTCTAGGTGTAGCACCAACCTTCTCAGGAACTATATGATCGAAACAAATTGCTGAGTTAAAAGAGTGGAACAATATGTGCTTGAGGGGTGCCTTATTGTACGCCTGAGGTGGCTTACTTGCTGCACACTTGCAACATGCTGCGATCCATAACTTGAAACATTCACCCATTTTCGGCCAGTAGAAATGTCGTTTACAGACCTCAAGACAATTTTCTACTCCAGCATGTGCAGTCTCCTGGTTATGCACCATGTCCAGGACAGATTCATGCAAGGATTCGGGGACTATGATCAACTCTCTACTTCCCTCCGGATCCCTCACTTCAGTCCAACGTCTCCTAAGTATCCCGTCCTTGATACTTATAAGATCAAACTGTTTCCAATAACTTAACAGTTCCTGTGGCATTCTACCCGCCTGAATTACCACCGGTTTCTCCTTCTTGATCACCCAACTATAGACCTGGTTTAAGATATCATCCTCCTTCTGAGCCTGTTTAATCTGCTCATGGGTAGGATTAAGAAAGTTTACTCCTCTCTCTAGTGAGCTTACATCACTAGTAACCGCTGAAACATTTTCCACTGCTTCCACTACTCCCGCAACTACTGATGCTTCCTCTGTAGTATCAGCCTGAGTAAGATTACAATTGCAATGACGGCTATCAACTTCAGGCGTAATCTGAACAATGTATACAACACTAGGGTCTTCACTATTCTCATCAAACAAGAACCCCGGAATCATACTGTCCTCAACACTCACCTCATTGCAAGATTCCTTAACCAGATTACTGCAATCATCATCAACCACAGTCTCGCTGCTAACCGGTACCTGCATCCTCTTAAACAGTATCGGGTGTTTACATCTATAATGTTCACGTCTCACCCGGTTTACTCCCTCTAACGCAGCATCAAGACTAAAGGTGGAACTATGACCAATGCTCGCAACATTTTCTCGAGATTTACCATAAACTTGGTACTTATAACGACTAAGTCCATCACACATCTGGTTACTCTTCCCCGAGATATGCTTCATGGTAAAAGTATAGTTAGCAAGCTCCTGAAGCTTCCTGATAACAGAAGATGACATCTTTGAAAATATTGTCGTAATATTCAAGAGTGGCAGACAATCTGTGATAACAGTGAAGTTTTTAACGCCACGTAAGTAAACCGAGAAATGTTTCAGAGTCTGATATAAAGTCTCAAATTCAATCTGAGTTTGCGGCCATATCCGCTTGTGGTCCGGAACCTTACGAGAAAAGTACGCAATTACCCTCCTCTTACCTTTGATCCACTGAGTCAAAGTACCACCAAATGCGTGTTTAGAACCATCCAAAGTTACCTCATAACTATTTTCCGGATCACTAACCTCCGGAAATGCTAGGACAGGACTAGATATCAACATGTCACGTAACTTCTGAAATGCAATCTGGTAATCCTCGGTCCACTCGAATACCTTGTTCTTACGAAGTAACGCATAGAGAGGACGTGCTATCTCGGAATATCCCTTGCAGAACTTCTTGGAATAATTCAACATGCCTAAAACTGATTGCAATTCAGCTCTATTACTGGGAGGTTCTAGACTCTTAATATGCTCTATACGAGAGTCGTTCATCCTGACTCCTTCCTTAGTTAGAGTAATACCGACATATTCAACCTCCTCACGTAAAAATCTGCACTTACGAGGTGTTAGTTTGAGATTACCCAACTTAAGACGAGCAAAGAGTACTGACAGTATCTGAATGTGAGATTTTACATCACGCGTGAATATCAGTAAATCATCTATGAAGAATGCTAACGCATCTGATATACCCAGACCGTTTATCAACCGCATGACCATTCTAGTAAACGTAGCTGAACTAGATTTCAGGCCCATGACCATTCTAGCAAACTGATACCTCTTCTGATTGTGCATGAACGCCGTGACATGCCTGGATTCCTTGGTATACGGAACCTGGTGAAAAGATTTACTCAAATCCACTGTTGAATACAGATTTTTATCGCCCACTTTGTCTAAAATGTGGTTTAAATTCGGCAGCTCCATTAAATCATCCTGAAGCTCTAAATTTACCATTCTTAGATCCGCAACCAATCTAGAGCGATCTCCTGATGGCACCAGGAAAAGGGGAG